AAGGTGTCAAGGGAACAGGCAGGAAGGTCTGATGCCATGTTGCTGCTGCTGACTGTGACAGTAAACGTGGCCTCAGGCTGCAGCCCAGGAGCTCTGCCTCCCTCTGGGTCCCAGGGTCTGGAACACTGCCTTTGGACAGGGATATGCAGCAGGCTGGGCTGAGAGCCAAATCTGTCCCCAAAGGCTCATTCACAACAGCTGAAGGATCTTGTTTTGAAAAAGATGTTCAGGATAAAAAACAGGACTCTCTCAGGAGACGTGGGAATCTTCCAGAATCCATTTTCCCTTTTAAGTTTTCCTATTGGCTTTTCTCCCCTCTTTGCTCATTTGTTTTGTCTCTCAGGGTGGAACTGAGAGCATAAGCTCAGAGATTCACTGTGAGCTTATGTTCTGTTCAATGAAAACTCATATACTGTGCCCAGGCAAAAGGTGAATGGTACAAAGCTGGCTTAATTTACATTAAACTATTCATAATGCTGTTAAGGTATATGCATAATGCTGAAAAAGCCAACACATTTTATGGCTTTGTTGAGCACTTGCTCTCAGAGTTTCTGCCATGCTGAACAATTGAAAATATCTGATTATTTTTGTGGGTGATAACAAAAGGCCTCTCCTGTTTCACTACTTAGAATTTTGATAGCTGTTTTATTTTACTTTGTCCATTTATCTCTCATGAAACCCAAAGAGAGCTCTTGCTCTCCATTCATCCTTCCAACACTGAAGTCTGGAGTTCCTCTGAAGTTTGCTTTGGCATCTACTTCCTCAAGCAAGCACCTTAAAAAAAATTAAAGCTGAAAGTGGTATTCCACTCCAGACTGAAGACATAAGTTCAGATATTGATATCTAGGAACAAAGATTTAGTGAAAAAACGAGACACTAAAGTTACAACAGAGCCTACAAAATCTAGGTTAGCTTTCATACTATCAATTCCATTAGTTGAGTTAGACATTCAGTTACACAGCTCTTCTATTCAAGTCATTCCTTACTGCTGACAGCAGTTGAGGGAGGAACAATAATTTCAGGGAATATGTGGGAAATAACAAATATTCCCTAAGTCACTGGCACTCAAACAGGTCTAAAATTGTGACTGGGCAGTTGCAATTATTCAGAAGATTGGTAGGAAGACCAACTCCACACCATCTTATAGTTCTAGGCTTTGAAAAACAAACAAAACAATCATCCCCCCCAGCATATAGTACTTTGCCCTACTATAGTTAAGGCACTGGATTGAGAGAAGGAAAAATCTGTGTTCAATTTCTGGTTCTGCTATCAATTTCCCACGTCAACACAGGCAAATCACTTCAGACTGAGAGCTCAAAACCACATTACCATGCACTGGGTGAGCCACACTACTAAGTCTGTTTGCACACATCTAACACATGACAAATGCAAGGTAAACTCACTTAATTTAACTTGGTATGGAATAAATTCACAATGAAATTGCTTTATCTTGCATTTGTTGTGGATTAACAGTACATAAAGATAAATTCAGGCAAAAAAAAAGAAGCCTGATGATAAGTCTGTGCCCCTACACTCAACACAACACTTAAGCATGCATGCAGGCAGTTTTTAGTCCTCCATCTTTATTTCACTCATTCACCTATATGCACCTATTCCTTTCTTGTCTGTCTTTAACGTTTCAATTATAAATGGTTGAAGATGTTTTCATCACACCTAATACACAAGGGTCTGAGTCTCAGCTGAGAAGTTTAGGGACTCCTACAATGTGAAGAAATACTACAATGGGTTATCTAAATCTGTATAAACTGAAGTTCCCTTCTTGGCAGAAAAACACACTGACTGAAACGCTGGATTGCAGTCCCACCAAAGAAGACAATAAGGACAGGAGGGGCTAGGCCAAAATGAGAATTATCACCTGTACACTGATAAGCCGATTAAAAATGTAACAAAAACAACTGAGGTTTCAGCTCAGGGCATGTTAAGTTCTTCCTTTTGAACTCTGAACTTAGGAGGCTGAGCTTTCTGTTCGGATCTGTCTTCTGTTCTATGAGAAGCATATGCTTCCCAAATAATATAAAGAGTTTATATGTAGATTAAATTACTATCCAGAACAGAACAATATGCCTCAAGGAAGCAAAAAGCTCTGAAAACAAGCCACTGCTAAAGATCTGCCCCACCTACTGCTGGCTCTAGTCTGCACCAGTCTCTTGTGCTGGTGCAAATCTCTCCCATTTAACAAGGATGATCTAGAACTGTCATTTCAGGATTGTTAACTTCCTGATTAATTGTTTCCCTGTCCACTAGACTGAGAAGTAAATAGCTTTCATTCAGTGTATTCATGACAGCTTAGTAAGCATTTTCTTTGACAAGTAAAATGCACAGTTAGTGTTTTAGAAAGCATCCTTTTTAGTTAAGGCTTTTCATTTGTTTCATCAGGTCAAATTCTGTAGTGTTCAAAATTAAATTCCGATACACATAGCCAAAAATCAAACCACTGGTATCACTAAAGTCAGTGGAGTTAGCTAAATGTAGGATGAAGATACCCTGTATTCTGGACTTGGCTTTTGGGGTTGACCTTCATGACTAGTGCATCAGACAGGAACATCAGGGACACAAACTTCTAAAATCTTTCAGAATACAGCTTCGACTCAACAGAAGTTTTCCTGATGGCGTAAATACAAGCTGTTAGTAAATCAGAGTGACTGCAGTTGCATTTGCTAATCCCAACAAGTTGTTAGGCTGACTGGAATGTCTGCTCTATCTTGACTTGCTTGGCAGATTGTACGGTTGTCTCACCATGGTCTAGATTTGTAAGGTATTTTAAAACGTTTTGTTACCTTTCCAAAATGTCCTGTTTCTACTTGTCAACTCAGCTTACCAGTACAGCAATAGCAATTCCATGAAGCTTTAGTTTAAGGATGGGCTGGTTTTGTTTCTTGATTTTTTTTCCCCTTTTAAATAAGACTCATACCTATTCCAGGGATTCTGCGGGAAGATGAATGTCCTTCAGTCTCCCAACACAGATTAATAGCAAAACATCAAGTCCACTGCAACGTGCTCTCAATTTAGAAAGTGCTGGTGCTATAAAGAGAAAGCCATTGATTATTCATCCCTGGTTTATAATATTAAAGAGCAAGTACAAAAAGTAGCTTCTTACAAGAGAGAAGCTGGGGCTTCTGAGTCTGTAGAATTTAGAACATCATTCCAAAATCCATATATTTACAATAGGCTCTATAATTCTAAGATAAAAACAAAACAGGAATGTGTCATATTTCAGTTATGCATTAGCTGCAGGGTTTGGATTAGGAGCACCTGGGCAACACAAATTGTGGCACAACAGCAGTTTGTGGCTACGTTCATATTTAATACAGACATATCTCCCTAGGAGGATGTAGGTCCTGGTCTGAGGTGGCCAGTCCTGCTCCAGCACTGTATTGATGATGGAGATAGCTAGTGTTTCACAGAAGGCAAGTTTGGTGCAGAACTTGGGCTCTTCAGTGTGGCTCTTCTAGAAACATTCAGTATACACAGCAACTTACTTTACCAAATCATTGCTTAAACCTTTGCTCATTAACATTCATAACAATTGTGATGTAGAGAGAACTCTTCACAGATAGGAAATTAAGGAACAAATTCAGGGAGCTGCCCTATGTGACCTTGAGCATCAACAGCAGAACCATAATTATAACTCAGAGTATTCCTAACTCCTAACCCTGTGTTAAACAACATTTATACCTGGATTTGATACATAAGACCTTGACAAGTTACACGGGAGGAAAGGGAGGGTCAAGAAAGGATATTATTTCTGCACAAGTAGTATTTTCAGATTAAATGGAACCTCCAATAGCCTAGAGCCCAGCTTTCTTGCATTTTGTCATCAATTCTTTTTCAGAGACATGCTGTTTGCAATTCCCATCTCTTACAGTAGAAACACTTCTCTGGAAAAGAAAGAAGTAAGACTGACTTTTGCAAACCTGACTAGAGGCAGATCAGGAGAGCCAGACCGTAGCCAAAAAGTCCAGCTCACCAAGAATACAGTACAGTGTAGAGTGGGATTAATGTCTTATTTACTGGTTCTCATTTGCACACCTTTTGGACAGGTGGCTAAATTGATCAAAAACCAGACAAAACGAGGGGATACAAATACTAACTTCTTTAATAGAGTCCAATCCAATTAAACCAAAATCACTCTGTGAACCCCTGGGTTTATTCACACTAAACAAGTCAGTGGTACATCGTGTTAACCCGATAGCTGATCATCCTTATACCCTAGGTCCCCAAAAGAAAAATGAGCACCAGTCAACCAGACTGCAATGATATTTTTCCTTCCTTTTTTTTTCCTTTTTTTTTTTTTTTTCATAAAACTATTTCTTTCATAGACTTGAAACAATGAACTAGCCAAGATATTAATTATGGTACATCTAAAAAAAAAAAATTAATACTAACCCTAATGTGACTGCTGCTTTAAGAGTGCTCTCTGTATTGCCTTAGATTGGCTTTTCAGTAGCAATTCACTACAACAGGTCCTAAAACAATAATAGAGAATTAAAAACCTGACAGCAAGTTTAATGGTTAAAAGTAACAAAACAACCTGTTCTGAATGGTGATTTTTCTCAGCAGTTCAGTTCTGCTGCAGCACTCACAGCCTCACAAATGGCAGAAGGGGTTCAAATTTTCTCACCTTCTTTAAATTTTTCTGGTTTTAAAAGGACAACTGCATTGTAACCTGCTAGGTACCACGGGGCATTTTACTTAATGTTATATTCAATAATGGGTCAATAAGGGGTCTGTTCTTAAAACTTACTGTTTTTCTGGGGTAGGTTAGGGAAGGTAGGGAATAGAGAGAGAACAAAACCATAGCTTCCTGTAGCTGTAGCTCCTCAGGTGCCTCGGTCACTAGGACTGTCTAATTCTCAGATCAGTGCTGGCAACTTCTGTTTATTCTAGAACATCATGATGTTAAACACCAGCAGCAGCCTCTAAAGCTCCCTTTTGATGTTTTAGGTCATGTCTCCTGTTCAAGGTCACCATCTTCTGTAATTTATCAGCTAAGAAGCATTTTCTCCCTCTCCACAGAGAGGTTTTAAAGGTGGGGTAGGGCATGAGACAAGGAGGGAAGCTAAAATTAATAAAAAATTCTCAGCTATAGAACCAAGTTTCATTATTTCCTCATTCACAGCATCTTATCATTATAGCCAGACTGCTGCTTTGCTTTGTTAAGATCAAACTGATCTCATTTCCCTTCTGGCCCCATTGGTTGCTGGTCGACCTCCGGATCCACTAGGGATGACGCAAATGCTGACTGGACGATCTGAAACCCAAATGACTCCAGGAGAGACATGTTCTGTTGGGGTGAAAAGGGGGATCCTAGAGCAGGACCGAGGTCCCCCAGTGGGCCACCGAGGGCCCTGACGTGGACTTTCTGTATGTGTTTGTTCAGATAAGACTTTGATCTGAAAAAGCTGCCACATTCAGGGCAAGGGTACTTCTTCTCTCCTTCTGTCTCCATTTTGTTTTTGCTGACTGCCATGTCACACGAGAAGGACCCATTGGTGCTCTGTTTCTCAGGAGTCTTGAGGTCACTGGTGTCAGAGAGGTCTCCGTATGAATCAGAACTCTCAATCGGGTCCGAATGTGAACATTTCTGGCCTTCTACGGGAAAAACAAAGAGAGAAGTTTTCAGAATCTTGTCTCCCCGAAAATTATTTAACATGCATTAAAATAGATCATATTGGTTATCACCTGATTTCGTTAACGCCTGTCATGACAGAATGACACACACTTAACATCACAATCCCTTAAAGCCCTTGACCATAGGTCCTCTTTACAAACCACCAGGCTGCTACCAGAGCAATTTGTGGCACAAAAGGATGGACCTACTGATGAGTTTCTAACTGTACAATTCACTCCCACACTTCTGAAGTATTGCTGATACTTTGAGAGAGAGCCTAGAAACCTAATAAAGTACAACAGGCTACAGCAAGAAGTGAAGAAATCTGGAAATAGTAAAACAGCAGTGAGCTACTGCAGCATAAGAAGTAAATTCCATTTAGTCTTGAAGAACTCATTTTTACAAGTTAAATGCAACGCAGTTAGAAGTGAATTTCATAATCTATAATAGTTCCATCTTTAAATACTGTAGTGCAAAAGAGGAGAGAGGTTAAGGACACTATTTTGAGTCATTTGGATACATATCCTGGCAAAGCCACTGGTATGTTTGGAGTCTTCCCTATTCCACCCTGGCATTATGCCAAGAAAGTTTGTCCACACTTTTTGCTCAGTGCATGTGAATGAGTGTGGGAAACCCAGACGTACTCCCTGAACAACTCCCTGAATGCAAGTAAGCTGGAGCTACTATTAACTCTAAAAGACCGAAGAACCACTTGGCACAACCCAAAAGACAGATTTGCTTTGGACTCAGCATTACAAACCAAACAGGATATGCATGAAATCAATACACCACTGCGCTGGAGTAAATCTCATGTTAAGCCAGCACACCTCCCAGAACCAAAAGGCTTCTGTAGTAACTCTACCAGGACTCCCACCAGAAAAAAAATCACACAACTGCAGCTCTCTGCTGGCACAGACTTTAAGCCAGCCTGCTGTGTTAAAGAAAAAAATGTAACTTTTTGGGACAACCATTGTTTTGAAGAATTTTCTGATGTTTCAGTTTCACCAGGAGTACTGACAGCTCAGACCAAGAAGCAAGAAGCAAGCTATTCTACACAGACTAACACATAGCTCTACATATTCAGAAGTTAAATACTCTTTAGCCATTCTTACAATAATAACTTTTTTCTTTTTTTTTTTTCTCCCAGAAGTTAAATGCAGGTAAAAAAAAAAAAAAAAGGAACAGTACTATTATGCCCCTCTACGTCTCCTTCCCAACAACAGCATTATAAAGTCTAACCACAGATAGTTGCATGGCTCCTCATCAGCCTAAGGCCAAGTGTTGCTTTCACTGCTCAAGAATCTTCATGAACTGCATTCTGTGGCTCCTGTTCCTTCACCCGAAATCAGAAACATGGTCTGACTGATGTGAGATTCAAGTATAGTGGGACTACGGAACTGTCAAGGATCTGCACACCTCAGGCAAAATTCAAATACTGACTGCTCCTAGGAAGATGGTCAAGATGAACTAACATGGCTATTTTATCTCTAAAATCAAAGAGGCTGCCAAAAATTCACACACCCTTACATGCCCATATCCTTGCCCTGGACTTGTTAAATTGTCTATCCAAGGACAGATACTACATACTATGTGGTGCTGCGTAATTTCTCTGCATCTCCCTAAGCTCCTCTCTTTTCCCTGTCCTTCCTTCCTCCCTCCCCTTTCTCATGCCCAGCCCGACATCCCACGACACAGAGTTCTGCACAGAGCAGCAAGGTGCAGAGCAGTGAGTCTCTTGCCTTTGATGCCATAGGTCCTGACGCAGTGGAACGCTGCTCCCCCATTCGGGATGGACTCCTGGTGCCTGGAGACCTGGGGAAGGGGAACACCGTGGTGGGTTTTAACATGGACCTTTAAGTAGGAGGCAGAGGAGAAACCTAAACAAGATAAAAGGAGATGAGATCCTGCCACCAGCAAAGACATCTGCCTTCCCTGTTCTTTTAATCCTTCCCTTGCTCCCCAGTACCTACTACAAAGTTGCCATTATGCTAGCTTGATTTCTGGTTACCTACAACATGCTCAAGAAAGACTCCTAGACATCACCAGGCAATGAACACAATGCATGCCTTTCAGTTGACCTTGTTTGCTTTTTGGAAGTCATGATGAAAGAACAACCTCCTTGAGAAACAAATCCTATGTAAGCAAAACTAGCATATTTATATGAATCATTCTGGAAAAAAAAGGCAGAAGAGACATGATACAAAAGGGCACCCATGTCTCTTTGCCATTTTTGTGCTATTTTATTTATTTTAATTAAAAATGCCTTCATTATCTGTTAACACTTTGGAAGATGTCCAAATTAGTTTCTTTTATGTTGTTAAGGTTTGAAGGAATGCCATTTAGCAGCACCCCTGTTTGGTATCTACGGTGCTTTCCCCATTTTTTTCTACAATAATTTTTGAAAAACATTCTCTCCATTCAGCTCATACAAGTTTTGAAAAACATACTAGAACTCATATTTTGTCTGCAGTTAACAAAAAATCATTAAAATGAAATTGCAGTATTTCTATTAGCTCTAAACTGAAAGCCTAAATCACTGAAATTAGAAACATATTTCAAACAACTGATTTCTGAACAAAACATTTTTTTTACATTTGTGCATGTGCTTTTAAAAATTGTTTTTGAAGTCTCACAAATCCGGCCTTTTCCTCTAATGCAATACATTATCTCACCTATACTTTGGAATGTTTCAAAATTCAGTTTTTATAAGATTTACAATTAATACTAATATATTTGGACCATATATGAGGCATAAGGAGGACACAGTTTGAAGAATTCCTACACAAGTAAGCCTATCAGCAACCATCTTAATTATATTTTGCCATAACATTATGGCAGTTTCATGTTAGAAACAATTTCCTTCGACAGCTGAGAACACAAGTTTCACTATCACAGACATAGAGTTCCATGTTCCCTTTATGGACAGAGAAAACCCAAGACCTAGATTTTTATTTTTTTTAAACCAATACAGCATTTACACCACAAGCCCTTGCATGACAACTTTCATGCCAATGCTTCACTTTAAATAAGAAAGATACACTACTGTAAAGCCATTTTTACAGTGATATAACTGCATTTACATTTGGTGATATATAATAACATATTGGGAATGGAGCAAACCCAATAATGGCACACCTCTCTGGGGTAGGTTTTCTGACAGCAGCTGTGAGTTTCAGGTGCTGAATTTAATCATGTGGCTTTACAGTAGAATTCCCTGTGTCTACTCTACAGAATAACCCTCTACCTGGACTTTTCTTAGAAGCCAGGATCAAAGAGTATTTAGGGTTTATTAAGAATTATATATCCAGTGCCTGCAGAGCAAGGCAGAACCTGCTGAAGGGGAAAACAGGCAGGTTGGTGAGAATGAATAAGAGATAGTTACTGCAGACCCCTGACGCGAAGACAAAAGTACAGAGAAGCAGACACGTCACAGCTGAAGAAACCAAGAACATACAACTCTCAAAATACAGTGGAGCAGAATCCCCCAGGCCAAGTCATCCAGGAAATTAAGGCAAGGATATGATCTTCCAAAGTAATGCCAGACCTACCCTCAAACACGAAATGCTATACTAAAGAAATCTCACTGGGCCACAAGGCAATATATTTTTCAAATACCAAAAATTCACTGTAGACATGGAAAGAACCAGTGTTTGACTGGTAAAGAAACGCATACAGTGTACTGATACAATGGTGAGACTTCTAGCTACGTGGTACCTCCCATATTTCACACACATCTAATAACCACGTGTGCCCAGATGAGCCTCCTTATCCCACTGCAAACTATCAAAACAGGACTACACACAGATGTTCAGGACTGTTCTAAACCACAGCCGACACGGGCAAAGATGAAGTTGTAATCTCTGCTATACAGTGTTTTTTTCTGAACTCTGCGATTCTATTTGTAGAGTACATTGTTTTATATAATGAAAACTGCTTGCAAAGTGTGTTAGCTCCCCTTTATGCACTTGGCAGATGAGCATGTGAGTCATCAACTCCCACCCAAGCGGCACGCGTGCCAGCTGCTTCCGAGGAAGCTACGTGAGATTGTTCTGTTTGGTTTTATCCTGATTTTTTACTGAAGCACTTCACACTGGCCTTTTTTTTTTTTCCCCATCAGACCTTAATTATGAATGCCTGCCCTAGGAAGACGGAGGATTCATAGACAATAAAACTTTCCTCATAAAAGTATCTTTTAAATCAAAGTCAGGCTAATGTAGAGCATGAAGTGGCAGTGTTTTTCAAAGAAGGAATGTATTTATTGCTTTGCCATCTCTCAGCACTGCAGAGCAAATAATTATTTCTTCATTCCACAGGAACCAACATTAAAAACACGCACAGAGAGGAAATTATCTGCTCTATATAACTGGAACCTATCCCTTGATCTCTTAGATAATATCTCTAAGGAGGCAGACTATAGAAATCATTGCAGGATTCTCTTTTTTAAAAATATTCTAATTTGGATTTAGCTGGACCATCCAGAGAATGTGTCTTGCTTTAATGAACTCTATCTACCATGAAATAAACGAGAATTCATCTTATGGTTAAAAAAAAAAATCCATCTAGCTTGTGGTTGTAATATATACCCTTCTCTTAGCTATTTTGACTTCTGTGAAACAATGTCTGTTTGTCTGAATCAGAAAATGAACCTTTTGAGTTGCACATGTTATTATAAAGTACCAGTTCTAGATTTGCCCGAGTCATTAATCTCTTAAATTCTTTGAAAAAGCCCACGCAAGCAAATAGGAAGTTCCTAAGGATGGTAACAGAAGATTATATAACAAAGCAGGAGCAGGTCTTTTTTATTTAAACTGATTAAAGAGAATTTGTCTTTAAAAAGTGAGGAATAGTTTTCATATGCATATTTTAGATGAACTCTTAAAAAAAAAAAATCCCAGAAAACAACTCATTACATAGTTTTCCTGATTTAACAAGATTTAATTGCTTTCATAATTATTCTAAGCTAAAGACTCTAATTAAGAAAATAACCTGGACAAAATATCAAATCACAGATTATATTTTTTTGACATTATATGGCTATTTTCTAAAATAAATAAATCAGTAAAATCAGCAAATCATGCACACATGACATGGCAAACCAGTCTCTACTGGTTTCAGTCCTCTCCTAACCCCATTACACCCTTAAAAGAACACAAGACACTCAAGTTCCACAGAGAAGCCTTCAGTCTGATGGGACAAACTGAGGGACTCTAAGCTCCCTCTTTCACACCAGGATATGTTCAGTTGTGTGAGTCACCTCTTCATCCAGTTTTTTTTTCTCTTTGGTGGGCCAACATCCAAAATTTTCTCTACAGGCAGCTTGAGCATTCTTGCTCAACAATTACTATATCCAGAGCTTGACAATTACTATACCCAGAAATAGCTAAGTTCCAATTAAAAAAGTACACAAGCACATTAGCAAAGGGAAGAATAAAACAAAATCCCTTTGCATGAGCCAGAGCACAATCACAATTGGGGGGCACAGGCAATAGCTTCTGACTGCACCAGTGCTTATCAAACAGACGTTTCTAATCCAGAAATTTTCTACTATCCTTCATCTTGCCAGGCTCTACGATTTCAAAGATATCTATTTAAAACAATGAGCATCGTAATTTCATTCCAGAACACTTTGGATTAAAAATTCTGCTCTCATAAATCTATAATCAAAATTCATAGCATATAACAATGAGTTCATAACACAGTTGTTCGACAAATCCAGTCTGTATCTGCCCTTTCCTATGAATTTTAACACTGGGTAGATATTTAGTAATAATTCAACACTTTAATTACTTTTTCTACGTGCTGATGCAAACTGAAATTCAGAACTGACTAAATTCTGACAACACATGAAAATAAACTCTAAGAAGAAAGTAGTTACTTAAAGTTTGCTGTACAACAGAATCCCTATCTTTCTACAGAGAAGTGTATAACTTATTTAAATTTCCACTGCACATTTAAACCTGTAAAATGTGAATAAACCACTTGGTCATTTCACTGTTTGAATGCTGTATCTGTCTTTGTCATGCTGGCTGAATTTAGAAAGAGCTGCAGTGACATCCAGTGGTAGGTAAGTTGAAACTCAAGCTTACAAATGGAATTCCCAATTCCTCCCAACCCCTATGAGTTTCTGTTTGGCACCACGTTCAGCTGAAGCAGAGCAGGATAGCACCCAGATCTTGGATAGCGTCTTTCATGTTGTTACCACAAAAAGAACTCTGATAAGCTTAAGCAATTTTTCAGAACATGGGCCTTCGGCTGAAAAGGTGGCCAAGCTTCATTTCTTACCATCTACCTGGAGCTTCAGAACCTGAAAATTTTCAACCCAGACACCTTTTCCACTCAAACTGTTGACATCACTTTCATGACCTAACAGACTGTTCAACTATTGGAAATACATCTCTTGCAATTTAATGTCTCTCATTACTCATCAACTCCTAGTCATCCACAAGCATTCTGTACAGTCCTCACACTAATTACAGAACAGTTTTATTCTCTCAAAAGATTTCATCTCTCTTAAACTAGAAAAAGGAATGCACACCACAAAAAAAAATGACTCATCAGAAAAAACAAGATCGCAAAACAAAGCAGCAACCTCTTCTAACACTTATGAGCCACAGGAGCCTTTGTAAATCAACAATGTATTTTGAAACTGTGCATTAATCATGCAAAAAAAAAGACACCAGTAAGTCAAAATTATTTTTCCAGATTGCCTCCCATTCCACAAAGACTACATTTACAACTCCCTCCAGCTGAAGAGTACCATAACCAGGTGGAAAAGCTTCAAAATCTCTTAGTCATGTAATTTACCTTTAAGTAGTTCTGCAAGGATCAGAGTTGGACACGATCTTTATGGGTCGCTTTCAACTCGAGATATTCTATGACTCTATGAAAAGCTGTATTTGTACAAGTAAAGGTGAAGCACATTTCTAGCGCTCTTTACAAAATTGGTTTTAGAAATTTATCTTACACAAAACAGTTTCTTAGGTTAAGAGGGAGAAGAAGCTTGACGCTACTGCTGCACCAGGAGGTTAAGCAAGACTAATAATTAGATTTGTTTTTCTTAGGTACAGTGTATAATTTCAACTTAGCATTTTAAAGATTCTTCTTGCAAACTGGTCATGAGGATTCAAGTCTAAACAGGTACAGAAAAAAAAGCTCTATGGTGAATAGTGGCAAGGCAATTTATCATCATTACTTTACAGGGATCTGGCTATTTAGCAAGTGAAATTCTTAAAACTGTCTAGAAACAAATTTGCTTCAGATTGAAGCTGAGTTTTTTCAGAAACTATCAGCCATGTAAAAAGAGTAGACCTATAGCTCCATCAGTTTCAAGGTTAACTAACGAATAAGAAAAACAAAGCCTCTGTACACCTATAGAGTATGACCTCCTCCTGTTGCAGACAGTCACACTGCCTCACAGCTTCCCTCGAGCGCTGTCCTGTCCCACTGAAATAAAAGATAATTTCTTCATTACCTCGGTTACAAATAGTGCAGAAATTGCTTGGTCCTTCACTATGTTTCTTCAGATGATCTGCCATATATGCTGCTCGCAAGTACTTTCCACACACCTGGCATGGGACTTTGTCTTCGTGACATGCTAGGTGTGAGCGCAGGCGGTCGCGAGTGGCAAAGGAAGCGTTACAAGTCTGCAGGTACAACGAGAACCATGTGACTCATCAGCTCTGCTAAAAGTACTGATACTGTTGATTATATTTAGTATTCTTTAAACACCTCTAGGTCCTGTGCAAATACACAAATGACACGAATAAAACTTCAGGTCACCAATGCACTGCACAAGATGTGATGTTACTACTTGGAAGAATTAAGAAAGCAAGAACACAGCTCTAATACACTACAGACAGTAGAACTTAAGACAGAGTTGTAAGGCTCTAGCTTCTCTCTGAGAATGAAGATACTAGGACTTATATATTTAACCAAAGAAATAGCACAAACCACTTGATTCCATTTACAGTAAGTTCTGCCATTTCAGTGAGCCATTGCGATCACTTTAGACCACTCGAAATGTCCTCTCTTCCTAAATTTTACTCTCTGATCTGATCAATCTAACTTCGGTAGACAGAATCCCTTTGGAGTATGAAGACACACAAATGAAATGTCGGAGAACTGGCTAGGATGAAAATACAAGGAAAGACAGTAAAAGAGCCATCCTGGTATCCACAGCAGCAATGCAGACAAATAGTAAAAGTGAAGCCTCAGAACTGAGCAGGTATCAAAATAACTGCATAACACTGTAATCTGTTTATAACTTACCCCCGATCAAGGTATCATATTGCACTTACTACCATGAAACAAACTTGATTTGGCATAAGGTAATATTGATTCTGCTTGCCCACTTCCCAGACATAATCCATATGATAAGTGAAGGCTCCCTCCCACTATTATACTCACAGATTCAATTGGCAGGCATGCAGACTGTGCACACTGCCTGCTACAACAGCCTGCTGGTTCTGAAAGGCTTGCTCTGTCTCTAACATGTGAAGGAAAATAAACCACCAGCAGCACACTGTACGAGTTATTAAAGATACAGTCTGAAACCATTGCTCACAAGTGCGAGAGGAAAAATAAAAGCAAACATACATTAAAAGGACCAGACCAAGCAGGCAATCAGTGACATTCAAGAATGTACAGTGTTTCATTTATACCACCTTTACATAAAATGATGCAGTTTTAAGATGTATAACCAGAATTCCCTAAGAAATAATATGAGGTTATGAAGTGACTTGAGAACTGGATATATTCTGTCTTTTCAAGTATCAGTGTGTAATTAAACAACTGTTTCAATATAGACTTGTTAAAGTAACAATCCTAGTAAAATTTCAAAATTGTAACTTCAAACAAATGAAAAGGAGAATATGGAATATAATTTTGCATAATTTAGTTAATCAAGAGCTCAGTCAAAAAAAACATTGAAGGCAGCTGAAAAGTACCTATCAATTTCAACAGGCTTTACACTCATCCGATCCTATGAGATGCTTAAGTAGGGTAAACTCCCACAGAGCTGAGGCTCCTCTGCAGGAAGCACAAGACTTAGCACCTCAGAGGATCAGGACTTAATGAACTTAAAAAGACAACAGTAAAATTATCTGGATTTCTGTGATACACACAGTTTAACTAAGCTCACCAGACAAAGATTAATGAATCACAAGTAGTGAAGATTAGGAGGTAAATTCTTGAACATTGAAGATCTCTCTTTGTTTGCAATCTCAGTACACAGCACTGAGCAAAACAGGTGCAGCTTTCACTTACTAAAATGTTCTCAGAGGTAAACACTCATTTAAGGCAGGACTCCAGCACCGATACTAACCAATCCGGTGGATATCAACTGAAGATATATGACTAGACAAACAAGGATTCCAGCCAAGAGACCCATCACAAATAAGTCTAAAAATACTGATCCACAGTAAACATCCATACAAAAACATTGGGAGTGCATTAGTTGATGAAGTAGACCAGAAACAAATCACATAAGTGCAGGGATGCTGGAAGGAAAACCGCACCTCTCCCATACTGAATTTATCAAGTTGAGAGCTTAGGGAAAGGCAATATAATAATTTCTGTTTGATTTCTCACTCTCGGTGCCAAGTTGTGCAAAGTTCACCTTTGGGTAAGCTATATAGTAAATATATCTGTGAAGAAGCTTAAAAAAAAAGAAAAAGTCCAGCGGAGAAAGCAAGAACCAGTTTAGCTGAATCAAAACAATGGGAGACAGGACTAGGTTTAAAGAAACCCCGAAGTTAATATTCAAATCGTTAATATTTATAAAAGGTATAGAGAAAAAAAAAGTTTTATTTTACAAAAGATGTGAAGTGCTAAATGAGTGCTAAGTATTTATCATTAATTGTTAATCATAGAAGAAGACTCTCCAGTGCTTTCCTATAAAACATTGCACAGGTATATAAATAGATCAAAAAGAATATATATAAAGTTTAAAAAAAACATTGTTTAAGAAATACCTCTTGAAGTTTCAACTTTTCTATGGATGTGGATGTCTCTGAGCTTATTCCATGGTGGCTGCCATTTTCCTGCTAATAGGCAGGAAGTAAGAGAAATTAGGACAGGAAGAAACTCATTCTGCATTGAAATCAATGGGAAAAGCACTGGACTTGGGATGCCAATTTTAAGTTTACTTCAATAAATAGATCTTTTTCTTTGCCAAAAGTTGTGCTTTAATTTAAACTGCATTTTTCTCCTTTTTATTTAAATTGCCAGAAGAACAACCTGCCTCTTGCCTCTGAGAAGGAGCACACCTTCATTTTCTCCCCTCGTTCTTTCGCATCTACCGGTTTTCAGATCACCGTTTCCTCCCAGACTGCAGCCTAACTTCCACACCATTCACACTCCAGGAGCAACAACCCAGCTTCACCCTTTCCCATGATGAGTCAAACTGAACTATCCCATGACGGCCAGAAAACTGACTTACCCTTCTCCTACATCCAGGACACAACTGTCAGTTAAAGAAATCAATTAAAAATAGATATTTAAAAAATCTCCAGTGCAACAGTCCAGGGGAAAAGACCCAGTGTGCCATTTGCTGTCCCAGCTGGACACCAGAAGAACTTCTTGGATCTGATTTCTCAGCTGCCTTGGCTCTATGGAAGCCTTCCCTATTCTGATTCTATTTGAACACTAATGAAAAAGGTGGAATCAAGTCTTTGTCTGGCATCAGGGGCTACAGGTGCTGGAACTTAGGACAGTTTTTCAAAGATCTGTGAAGCACAGTCAATTTAGGGGGATGAATGCAACATTACATGCTGAGCACTGAAAATTATAGCTGTTGCAGTGGTGTTCAGCTCACAATTGTCCTGCTTCTCATAGTTTCATTTTATTTATTCTGAAGTTGAGTTGACACCTTCATGCTTTTGTTTTGGTAGTCCAAAATGTGCCATGATGCCACATCAACAAAACATTAGCCATCCACTAGTTGGGAAAGACACGTGAGGGCTCAGGTGAATAGCCAGTGGATTTTGTTTAGATCACAACAGAGCACAACTTCCATGAATGTCATTATTATCAAGGATTCTGGAAAGCTTTTCCGTTTACTGGCAGAGTACTTCTCTTTTGCAGTAAACAAACAAAGCATGACAATAACAGCAATTTTCAACAGGAACTCAGCAGACTCAAAGAGGATGCTCAGTGCTGTTCTCACTACTCTCACAGGGAGCTAATTTGCCAAACAAAATCAGTGCAAAAAATATAATGGAAAATGGGGAAACAACACGCCAATATTAAGCTACTCTCCTTCTTAGTGGCTAGAGTCTGTGTTTACAAACACCTCATGGACTAGAGGTGTTCCGGGTTATGAGGTAATCACAAGGAGAACATTATCAATTCATACATCAGCTTTCAGATTTGAAATAACTTTTCAGCATGACAGCACCCCTTCCGTGGTTTGCACCATGTATGCATATTTAAGAAGACTCTCTAAACTTGACAGAATATTACAAAGTATTTTTTGCAAAGGTACATAACAGCTCTTAAACTTTCTACACCTTAAGATTAATGAAAAATCAACTTTGCAGGGCTATAAGCAGTCAAAAATCAAGAAAAACCAAGCCTGAATGGTTTCAGCTCTGTCCTGATGCCTGTAACCTGTAGCCTACACCTTCTCACTGAAACAAACTGTGTCATAGCACTTCAGACAACAGACAACGAGAGAGGCTGCTCCTAGAAACTGCTGCCACAAAGTACATGTGTTCAAGGACCTGCAGTTGAGCTTGGCTGTAAAATCTTATCTTCCACATTCACTTTCTAGCTCTTAGTGTATCTTCTGATTCACACTTCCAGAGTTTATATTTAATATTCTTAAATTGATCAGAAAACTATTAGAAAATTATCAGGCATCAGCTGGCAAAGGACAATTCAGGTCTATCAACGTTATTCATGAACTCTGTTCGTTCAGGAACTGTGATATCAACTGGCAAAAGACTAATGAATTTCTGTTTATGCTGGAGCCTAACCATTCATTTTCGTACTTGCATGTAAATACATGCTTATGGAAAAAAAATTGTAGTAATCTTCAATTCATCCACTCAGACCTCTTGCTGTCCCCAAACTGTAAAGTCTTCTTATGATTGGAATTTTCCAATTTATATACATTTATAACCCCTAAATAATCTTAAAAAGCTTAAACCAATCTAAAGCTTTATACAGGATATGCAGTTAAATCAACGGGAAGGCTCTATGGACAGATTTTCAAAGGTGCATGGCTTCAACAGATCATATGGAGGTCAACAGAAACCTTCCAAGGGCTCTGTGTGTCTGAAAAACTGTTCACTAGGTTACTAAAGTTGCAAAATGTTTCAAAACTGTCACAATTTGGAGGAAACATACTAGAGGTGTCAAGAGATGGGGAAAAAAACCCACAGATAGGAGGCAGAAGCCATAGAAACCATGTAGGATTTGACTAGATTTACAGAGTGTGGTTAAAAAATTGATAAGAAAAAAATCCTCTAATCTTCATTGTTTTCAAAAGAAAACAAAACCAATCTTGCTACAACTTTCTTTAAATAATTAAATAAATCTTTCTTCAGAGACCAAGCATGGAGACAGTTAGCCCAACAAATGTTTTAGAAGTTTGCCCAACGACTATGTGACAGTGGAAGCCAATTCTCAACTTGGGTTTTTAGGAATACTTCCAGGCACGTTTTACATCCCTCTACAAATGAATTACAAGGTATCTTTCTTGATTTGATCTTTCAAACCCTAATAAATAATGCATTAACTGTAAAAATCTATATACATTATAACATTGTATTACAAAGGATACTGGGATGTTGTTATTTAAATTCTCCCTAGGATAAAAAAAGCTTCCAATTTTGCTCAGTGCAATGTTCTGAAAGCTATGATTAAAAAAAAAAAAAAAAAGAGTTATCTTGGCAAGTTATGATAATTTACCATTTTTATTTGAAATTATTCTAAAAAAAAAAACAACAAAAAGAGTTGGCATTGGAGCCTCCTGTTGGCAACAACTGCAATAAAAAAAAAGAACCAGGAACCACTGGTGCTGCTGACTCTAAGCCCAGGGACAAGGTGGCTGGGTAAGAGATACAGGCTAAGACTGGGATAGAGCAGTGGGGAAGAACACGTGGTAGAAGGGGAGGGAGGCAGGAGGACCAAAGCTGTGGATGACACAGGGGCTGGGGGACAGGAGGGATGTAGAACAGCTGTGACTGTTGAACACTGTTATTTACAGACATTTATCCCAATTCACACACACGTGGTATTTTTACTGATACTTCACAATTGTCTCCACACACAAATGCAGTGCCAAAGGTCACCCGTACAAGAGTCTAAACCCGTTCAGCTCCTACCTGACACTTGTGAGGTCTCTCTGAGGTATGCACCTGTTTGATGTGTCCATTCAAGTGGTCTGGCCTTAAAAGAAAATACATATAAGCACACTTAAAACAAATACTAAAATTAAACTTACAGTTTTAACAAAAAAAAACAAAATCCCAGTGGTGGCTCTATTAGAAGAGCAGTGATATTTAACCTTCCAAGAACCAGATCACCAACAACTGGGACTCTACCTTGACAGCATCCTCTCCACCTTGCTAAAAAGGCAGCATTTTCTCAGGAAGAAATGATGACTGAATCAGAGAAAACAGGAAATGCAAGCTACAATTTTCAAGGCTGCACAGCCCCGTCCAAAATCCTGCTTAGATCTTGACAATCTTGATTTACAGTTGCTGAATATTTGAAAATCAGACCTTTCTGTTTTATGTCCCAAACGTAGATGTAAGAAGCCAACTTTAAGCACCCCTGTGCAAAAAGACTGACTCCAAACTCGGTTGCTGTGACACATCTTCCACCAGCAAGATCCAAAAATGCTGTCCTAACTCACAACCTGGTGGGGAGACTGCATTAATGCAAATAAAGTGCCATGAAGGTCCCAACTAGAAGGTGCAATGGAAGAGCAAATTATTACTGAAAAAAAAAGTCATATAATTCTTCACGATCCGTAAAGCCTACTTTGAAGAAGAGAGGACTGAATAGCTGCAGATTTTCCTGGTGGGAGTTTCTCCCAGTGAGAAGAAAGCTTTTCATTGTATGAAGCCAAAACTGCTTGGAAACAAGTTCTCCACCCTCTCCTCCCCCAACTTTCCAGCTGCACCAATGAGAGGGCCAGGGCTGGAATTCATGCACTGCAGACAGAAAATAGACTGAACTTTGCAGCCAGGTTGTTAAAGCTGGTGCTCCAGCAAGTGGGCTGAAGCAGTGTAACCAGAAAGACTGGTTGGGGGTCCTTCTAGGTACCTCAAGCCCAGCAACCTCGAGTGCAGTGCTACTGAATGAAGGAAAGGACACTAAAATTAGCCATCACGTTTCCAACCTCCTCTGGCTGCTTTTAGGACTGAATACTGAAATGTTCAGAGAAAGAGTCTCCCCTTTTCATTCATACTTAGGTTTTACAAAGATACACATTGTTGTTGTTTACGTT